GGAAGCCATACTCTCCCTATGTTTTGCCAACTATTACAACCTCCATTTATCTCTGATACTAGTAGCTTTAAAAATAGACGACTAACTAAAAGTTTTCAATCATTGTATAAATGGTTTTGATTCAACGACAACATAACAGATAACAATGTATCAAAGTAAAAAAAAAATAAAATAAAATACTAAACAATAAATCAGAGCATGCATCGTCTTGTCGGTGGAAGTCAATGGCATATTTTCGGCATGTTGACAACCATCAGAGCCCATCAAAAGAACTTGTTTTCTTATTCAAAATCAATGCGCGCTCTGATGTCATCCATAAAATTACTTGCTGTGGCCTTAGGTGAAATTTCACACAATCATCGAATGCCAATGCCAATCAATGTATCATGATGCAGGTACAGCAATACAACTGTAGGTTCGAATCCTGTTCTCCATCAAATCTAACTCTTATATATGATGCGAGTTAAGTTAGATTTTCACTTCCCACTCACACAATGTTTAACGTTGATAGGATCGGTCGTGAGGTTGTTGAACTCTGTAACTACCGCGCGTATTATCGAGAGTATATGTACGTACTACTAGCACTATAGTATTTTGAGTCACGGGATCCTTGCTACATCTGTGCATGGGTCCTTCTCTCCAAAATACATGTATTTCCAATCAGTGTTTATCGTTGGTGATGTTGGGTGTCAGTTTTGAGCTGGTGCGAATGTTATCTTCCAATCATTCAGACCGACTTGGCCATCTATATATATCTCTTAAACAAAAAATAGCGATATTGACAATACCTTTGGTCTGTTTTATTTCATATAAGCAGCAAACCACATCAGTTTCGCTACAGTAAAGTACAAGCTGTGTAAGACAGATTATTTTTCTCTACTCACACTGGACGTATCGCAAAACTTATCAATATATAATTAATCCGTAAGCTTTAATACTATGTTTTATTTTATTTTCATATGCAGATATCTAGATATACTCATTTACAAATAGCTTATATTTCTTGATGCGCCCGCTGCTCTATTTTAGCAAACAATTAAAATCAACAAATAGTCTTCAAGATCGCGTTCTTGAAAGCGGAATTCTTGGCAAGCTCTGCTGAGAATTCGAACATTCAGGAAGGTAAGACCACCTGGTGTTTCTGACTTTGGGTACTACTGAACTCTTGTCTAGTGTGACTCCTGTGGTTTCCACGTGCTTAGACTAGTTGCCTTGACATTGCACTGTTGCCCCCCCCCCCCCCACCCACACACACTAGCGATAGTGCTAGTCACCACCATTGAGGATAAATAAATAAATATACAAGAGTGGTTTAGTCGCATTAGAAATAATTCCAAGCTGTCTTTTCGTAGCAAATTAAAAAACTGTTATGAACAAGAAACATACCTTTGTGATATAGATAACTTTGAAATTCGTAAAGCAATAACTCAATTAAGAATCAGTAGCCATAAATTGAATATTGAAACAGGTAGATATTACAATATAGCCTCTGACCAAAGGTTCTGTCCATTTTGTCCAAAGCATATAGAAAATGAATTTCATTTTGTTATGGAATGTACCAAATATGATGTTATACGTAACAAGCTATTTACATTTCTCGAATCAAGTACAATAGATTTCAAGAGTCTCGATGTTAGAGACAGATTTGAATACTAGTATATCTTTACATGTAATGGTCCCCACAACGCAAAAATAGGTAGATATATAAAGGAATGCTTTGTTATTAGAAAAAATTCCGAAACTTGTGATTAGCCCACTCGATTGTTACACTTTATCAAAGACTTCTGCTATCCCTTTCGCCAATCAGATATATAATATCACTGTGCAATAGTACAACACAACCTTTTGTGAACCTCTATCTACAAGAGGGATGATACGTTTTTTTCCAAGATCCACCCAATTCGGGTGCAGCAAAATGTACTCTCCAAGCGGACCCTCCCCTGGCATGTTATCTCCATATTTGGCCAATTTCTACTCTTTCCAACCGCCTCCCGAAGCCTGTTAAACCAGAGCATGAAAACATAGTTTTGCACTATCATACTTTCGATCTTTGTATAGGAAGTAAAATGTGAAACACTGGGTCCGAGGTTTTGTAATTAACTGTTGTTTCTTCATCTGGTATCTTTTTATTGCTAAATCTATGTGTGGCGTGTCTCTTAATGTATGGCATGTGCTATACAACGTTAACAGGAATGGATACTAGTACAGATTTGCATTGACAGAAAAACAAACAAAACCTAGAGATATGACAGATATTTCACTTTATTTCAATTTTTGTTAAGTCGGAAGAATAAACACTCACTATATCGTTTTACACAGGTATTACTAATTTATTTTAAAAACTATAACTTTTACTGTTTTACGTCGACGATATTGAACATTGTATATACATATACTATAATAATACTTTCTTTATTGGTTTTACTGAATTTGATGATTGTAAACTTCGGCGCAATTCAGCTATTGCTGCAAGGCCGATTTGTTCCTTGTGTATCAATAAACCATTTACTACTACTGTTAACAACCTATGAAACAATATTATTCATTCTCTTCACGGCACTTGGGGGCAGTATACCATTACGTGTTAGATTGGCATGCAGTACAGAAGTTACAAGTTTCGTGTTGATGTAACAAACTCGTGTTCCGGATGTTGTTAACCTTGGTAAGCTCCAAACATGAAACTTTCCCACCGTCCCAGTATCAAGTGGCACATCCGGTCAGAATGTAAATATGTTCCGAGAAAATTTCAAAACATTTGGATGCAATCGCGGAAAGTACAGCTTCCAAACGCGAGGGAAATGTTGATTGGGATTGAGCATAGTAAACATCCAGGCTATTTTAGGAAATTGTGTGATCTGTTTCGTTCGTGAAACCTTCAAAGGTGTCAAAAACGCAATGTTCACACACTGTTGCGTGGGATGTACATGTAGAAATAAAGTACATGTAGAAATAAAATGCATCAATAAGTTGAAGCCAATCTAGAAGAAATGAGCCTATTCTTAATGGCTACTTCTTATTACAAATGTCAAGCAGAAAAAACACTGCTCCATAAGATTTCTCTTGATTCAGCCAATGTGAAATTATATAATTATTTCACCCTTTGTATGTTGCACCCAGGGAAATTCTAAATTGAAACATTCTGGCCCGAAAGTCCTTTAAAACTGATAATTTAATAATCTGTTGAAGTCTTAATATCTATATCATATTTCTCACTATAACATGACATATATACACCAAGTATGTATCCTACAGCAAATATGATTTCTTAACGGATATTTTTGATACAAATTGCTGTCATGCTTTTTCTGCGAACCACATTAGTGTTACTGAGCGTGGAGAATTCATGAATTATTGTGTTTGCGTGCGTGTTACGACAATGTGTGTAGACTTTTTAACCTTTCTTCACATTTCAGATGCGCTAATCTGAGTTTTATCACAATGACCTTGTCAGGAAACCGTCATGCAAACTTCTGATCCACACTAGTATTGCCCCACACTGTGTCACAGGTGCAATACATACATGACATATTTCTCTCTCTCTCCTACCCCCCTCCCCTTCCGCTCCTAAACAGCCTTGCGCTTCTATTCAATGTTTAGGCTTTGTGTTTGACGTGTTTTTGGATGTTTTTTCTGACTTTCTTTTTTCGTACTGGTATCTTTTTCGCAAGCCAAATGGGTGTCGTATTGATACTCCCCAAGCAGAGGTTGTGGGGGAATGATCGTTAGCTTTTTACATATGGCCGTTTTTTTTGTCACTACCCCCACCAACGTCGGTGGCCGGAGACCTTCTCTTGCTAATGGATACTGCCTGACCAATTTATAATAATAATAATAATGGTTTATTCGTCATTCAACACTTGTACAGAAAGGCAGGCTCCATTAAATGGAACCTGAATTGTTCTGACAATTACATCGGATTAATTAATAAAAGGTTAGCACACATTAAAATCATTATACGTCATTGATTATTAATATGAGATAAGTTAAAAGGTCATTCATTTAAGATAACAGATGTACACACAAATTACAGGCAGGATAAACAATTCTATGAACAGTAGGATATATATGTATAATGCGTACTCTGAAGTAAAAGCTAGGAATTCAGCATCCGAATCATGTAAGGAATCGCACTAGATCTATATCTTTCATACTTTCAATTTGATACTGTCTTTTTGCCACATACCGCAAGGGATCTGCTTGGAGATTAGCGTATTAGATACTGCCCTTATACTGTCTTGCTAATTTGATACTGTTTTGCAGGCACCAAAAATTTTCTGGGAGATTAGCTCGCCCTGGAGTAGTGCTGCGAACCCTATATCAGTCGGTATTTGCTTGTTTTGAATACAAGTAGATCCAACAGCAGAGATGAACATATAGCTATGGAAAGGATGAAAACATTGTCCTTATACGTAAACAACGCCAACATTCACCTTGTAAACAATGTCGTTTTTATTTGAGATCCTCTTGGCAAGCGTATGTTGTTGTTGTTGTTTTTTGCATCAGATACTGAACGTTTAAGTAGCCTATTTGTACGTATTTTTTTACTATATTTACACCCCAAAACTTTAAAAGTAGAAATAGGATTTCTTGAGTTATTTAGTAAAATCGTTGTCAGTCGTGGAGGGGTGGCATTATGAATGATAAAGCTGTAGTGATTGTCATTTGTTTGATTTCGATTACTACAACGAAATGCACCTTAGATTACCCCTCTGGGGTCTTCAACCCGTTCACTAGAACGTTCCATGTCATCTAGCTATCTAATCACGCCAATTCTAAGGAATGCCGCTAAGCATAGTTTATAACCAAGATAAGAGCGACATGTCCGTGTCCCAGGCACCTGGCGTAGGGCACGCCCTCAACTATTCCCCGCCAAGGTTTACTTGATAAGTTCACGCAATAGAAGGCTCATCCAGTTTGTAAATTCCTTTCTTTTTTATCTTCTATTTTCTTTTGAACAAAGCTAATCAGCGCACTATTGTTTTAGTTAGCGATGGTTCTCTTGCAAGTGCCGCAGTTAAGCGCTTGGCCTCAGCTTTTTCACGGCGTCCGAACGCGCGCGTGGGTTAGCTTAGCGTGGAGTGGCACACAAAACACGGAGTGACCTTGTACAATAGTGAATGGATGGTGACACGGCGTGCATGGGGGGTGAGAATGGATGAATATAAATCTCGGCTTGTGGTCACAAGCTACAGTCACACCTCACAGAAGTGTTTGACACACAGCTACTGGTGTCTTGTCCGCTGAGAGAGCCCGTGCTACGACAAGTGTGTTTCCGCACCAAAGTTCTCACCTGACCGTACCAGCATGTATCTGCTCAGCAGAAGTATGTTGCTCGCCGTGTCGTTTTTCTCCGTCCTAGCCGTCTGCCTGGCCCGGGCGGCACCTGTCGCATCACCCGCCGACGACGGCACGGAGTCCCGCGAGTCGCCGGCGAGGGAGAGAAGGAGCGCCAGCCCGCCGAAGTACCTGCTCTACGTGTACAAGAACTTCGAGAAGAGACTGGAGGAGGACTCGGAACTTCAGGCGGGCCCGAGTGGCCCTCAGCCCGACCAGCCCGGCATGAAGGGCGCCGAGACGATCTTTAGAATTAGGGCCTTCACTCCCGAGCCCGGTAAGAAATCTCTCTATATATACAGAACATTTGTTTGGTCTATATCGTACTTTTGTATAATGAGGGTTATAGTTTATGGTTTAATGCGGGCTGTCTTGTTTTGGCGAGGTTTTTGACCTAGAGTAGATCGGACGTCGGTGTCTTCGCAATAACCTGGCACGTTTTGAGTCAAGTTTGATATGTCTAACGAGTTGTTCAAAATGTCCACCAGACTGTGCAGTGGCATAGCTTTGGTACTACCATACTGATAAAATCGTGGCCATTGGTGTGATGCGTATTTCGCTGCGACAAAGCATGTAAGAAACGATTTACTTATCAAGTTTTTTTAATCATTATAGACCACCATGAATTATAGGACTTTTCCTTGGCGTGCTTCTGATCAGCCATGAACAATAAGGCATATAAGCATTTTGTTCTTTGAACCGAGTCCGTTGTTGTTTGAAATTTAAAGTACTCTTCCAAGTCACAAACCTTCACGCGAACTTCATCACATATTTTCAGCGTTGTTAGTGCGACAAACATGAGGGAATATGTGAGTACTGTAACTTCAAATTTGGCTGCGACTTTGGTTCTGTTGCGTTTGCGTTTAACTCTAATTGTACATGTCGAAGGTGTACCGGGACAATTCCCCTCTCCTCCCCCAGAATGTTTCTCGGCCCGGGTCAGTTTGTCCCCGGTTGTATGATCATGACGGTTAGGGCAAAAGGCTACTCTAAACTCCTTGGTTAGGGTTAGGTTTGAGGGGTGAGACGGCTTGGGGTGGGGGGTGCACAACTGTCGAGGGTAGACGACAACCACCTGTTACAGAACTACCTCCGTTTCCCGCGCGTGTTCGCTAGACGGTCGGGGATCAAGGATGAGACAGAGATTCGCTCCGTCATGCCTATCAAACCTCAAGTACATCACGTCCTGCGGGGACGATAGTGGCTATATCTGGCGACTGATAAAGATGTGCATATCGCGGTCTCCGTGTGGGGTGGGGATTGTTGACACGTGGAGAACACGCACATGCCATGTGACTACCACACACCTGTGTCTTATACAAGCGCCATTAGTATTCTAGAGTCTTCGGGGGCCAGTTTAATATATTATGTATCGTTTGAGCTCTGTAAACAGGGGTTAGGCCTGTTTCGGGCGATTCTTAAAAATCTTTTTTTTTTCTTGCCAGGCCCAGCAGGTTGGGCCTTTCTACTACTGTGTCAGGCAACCTAACCATTAGTTAGCCGGCAAAATAGAAAATCTGACAAAACGTCTGAGAAAGAAAAAGAATAAAAAGTCCGAAAACATTTTTTCTTACAAACTTGTCTGTTGACAATCAAGTTGACAGAGGTGGAATTCTGTTGATACCAGTCGGTTAGCGGATAGCGGATAGTGCTCCACTGATAGTCTGGCCAAAAAAGCATCAGTTTGAAGATGCTAATCAAAATGACTAACTTTGTTTTGCAGAAACTTCGAAGGTTCACAACGGGCTTCTCAACTTCCGGTTGGCTGACCTGGACCGGAAAGAGATGCCGACCCACGTTGAACTTGTGCTGACCCGGCGCAGCCGCAGTTCGCCCGATTACCCACTTCGTGTCGCCGTACACGAGATCGACAAGGACGGAAAGGTCAAAGAAGAGGTAATAAAAATGCATTAACTTTTTGACGTACCGGCTTGTATGCACCATTCATTCCATTTATGTGCGACAGGCTTCGGGAAACGACTGGAAAGAGTTTCGGGTGCGGCAAACTGTGCTCTCTAGTGCGTACCAACTCCCTTGGCGTGTTATTTGGCCAAATTCTATTCTTTCCAGCCGCCCCCGAAGCCTGGTAGAGGCTACTTTTGCAAGCGTTGTTTAAAACTATTTTTAGACCTTTATTTAACCTTGAGTGATGATGCTCCTACTGTAGCAATGAGTTTCCCTCTGCATGCGATAATATAAATTCTTGGAAAACTCCGCGATATTTCTAGGAATTATGAATTTTTAACATACTGACCTTGGCTGATAACCCTCGTACTTGAACTTCCGGACATGGCTTGAAGGCTGTTGATAACATTATTTATCCCCCTTACTCTCCCGTCTTGTTTTTCAGGCCATCGATTCGAAAGTTCTCCGAGCATCCAAGCTGAAGAAGCGTGGTTATGACATCTTCCGAGTAGCCAAATCGGTCAAGACCTGGATGGCAAGAGGGTCTGAACGAGAAGTCAGCGACATTGGCTTCCAAATTAGAATCACGGTGAGTTGTAGGGGATAGAACTACACTTTTATCTACTTTACAAGCTCGTGTTGTTTCAAACACTTGAACTTTTATACCATGAATAAGATTTACCCACATCTGGCCTAATCACTTCATAACTTTTAAAGCACTTTACTCAGATACACCAAAACATTTAGCAAAACATACAGATATATACATGACGTACACTGGTTCTCACCTTTTCAGCGCTAATCTGATTAGATTAGGTAGTAATGTTTGCTCTAATCTATGTACGTGTTTAATAAAAGAAACAAACTACTACCTAAAACTTCTTCAGTGTTCCGTGTTGATGTAGGTATTGTACTGTTTATCTTTGTGTATGATAAGAAATGTGTGAAAATGTTGTTTATTGTTTGTTTAGACGAGGAGCGGGCACGACCTGGGCGCCCGTGCCCTGCGGGACGTGTACCAGCTGTCCCTCGGCAGTCGCGGCCCGGCGCTCATGCTGTACTTCGGACTGGACCGGCCCGAGCTGCTCCACCGCCCCAAGCCCAAGGTCAAGGACCGGAAGCAGAGGGAATCACGGGAAGAAGAAAAGAGACCGGAAGCACAGGCGTCTGGAGCAGAGATGCACCTGGAAGAAACATCTACAGGTAAGATAGCCAGAAACATAAGAAGTAAAACATGAGGAAAACAAGAAAGCAAGACCAAGAAAGAAAATAGAAAAATAGAAAAAATATATAAGAAAGAAACAAATTATAGCTAGTATTTGTGGATCCCAGTTGTGAATTTCTTGATAGAATTCGAAATAAACCAGTGCAGAGTTTTATAAATACAAGTACATTTTTGAATAACATAGCATTTGCTACCGAGAATCTTACCTTTCGATACAATAAGTAACTTAATCATTGCCCGATCAACTGCAAGCATATAAGTCAATCAGAGAGCATGAAGTGGACGGTGTGTCGGTATGTTATGTTGTCCTTTTCTGGAATGTCTGTCAGCAGCACCAAGGACAGGCATATCTTTTTATAAAGATAAGTCTAGTCAGCGAAGGACACGTGTGGTAGTGTCTCTGCATCGAGTTTACCGTAGACAGAAGAGCTGACAAAAAAACAGCACAGATTTGTTATGCTAAAGACCATTGACCGATACCCTCGTAGCAAGTGTTCTGGACGTATACGTAAAAGAAGCTAGACTTACACATACAGGTACACACGTACAGAATCGATATTTATATAACAGAACCTTACGTGCTCAAGTCTATTAATCCAGATTTTTTCTGTGTCGCTGTTCAGAATGTAAACAAATTCCGAAGCTATCCAAAATGGCGCACGAAATATGTTTACTGTAAAAAAAAAACAAGAACGAAAAAAAACACAGGATTCTTCAATCTTCCAAAAGATGACCAAAACATGTTTTGGTGGATAGGCGTTCAGGAGGGCATTAACCCTGACAACAGGTGTTTGTCCTTGCATGTGTCCCAATTGCAAACTCACCGATCCAACCGGAAAGCCGGGTACATTGCCATGACCTTTCCTTCCCCGGACATACATGTATGATGTACATTGGGTGGTCCTGTGATTGAAAGCTTAAGCGCGGCACAATTCTTGTCAATTTTAGACAGGATCGTCTATTGTCTTTAAAATGTCAGCAGTAGTTCTCTTGGGGACTTAGAGATAATAGTACGATAGACGGCGGTTGTTGTCCCGTCTGAGAAAGATAAGTCGCGCTTGCGTCCGCTTATATTTGTTTACATTTCATATTTGTGGTTATGTGTTGCCTAAAATAACGGACACCCAAGGACAGGAGACTCCCTTTCCTGTGATGTTGGCAGAGAACTTCAGCGGAAGGAAACAATGAAAGCTCATGGGAAAGATTTTCTAGAAAAGGTTGCCTACATAATATTGAACAAAAGGATCAGGCAGGACTACCTACTGACTTGTCACGTTTCAAAACTTAATGTCCTTTGAAGAAGACGGAAAACTTTTTAGCTTAAGTCAGATATTGTGAAATATCTTACAAATGTATGAGTCGTTCCTGGTTAATCTTGGAATGACCACAATGGATGCAGATTCTGTAATCCTCCAGGAAAAAAATCTTGGTTATCACCGTTTAATTCTCCTCATACCACAAAAACTGTTTGATAACTGTTTTAGTACTAGTATGTCGTGCCGGTGTTAATTCATCGATCAGTGGTTAACCAGTTGTTCGCTTCTTTCCTACAGGCGCGAACGACTCCAATGTCCCTACCGGGAAGGACGCCTCCCAGCGGACTAAGCGGGAAGCGCAAGGGAGCGACTGTAGACTGCGTGAATGGTAAGTCCAACCATGGTCCAACTAAACTGTGACACCTGATTTTGTTAACTAGATGTCACATTACTAAAATATTTGGCGTTGCATGTGGAAGTCTCATGCTCGTAGCCAGGGGGGGTTCGGAAGAACCCCCCACAAGGCTCAAAGGTCCACTTTTTATGCAAAGGTCCACTTTCCATGTAAAGGTCCAAGATTTTTCTTGAAAAGATGGACTGGAATCGTAGAAAAACTGCTCCCTTTGTCATTGAATAAAAATTTATCTCTGATTTTTTCTTGGAAATCCTCTCAAAAATGCATGAAATGCCATGTTAGAAGGTTCATTTTTCAAAACCCCCCTAGGAACCCCCTCAAACAGTGGGAAGAATCCCCCATTCAAAATCCTGGCTACGGGCATGAGTCTTCTTACAAAAGAAGTGTTATTGACAGGTTTTATTGCGCTATTGTCCGTAATACGTATTAAATATGAATAGTTTTGATGAAAAATGCCCTTCCATTCCTCCAGGCACGTGAACTTTGCAGACCTAGAGTGGAATGATTGGATCGTTCATCCTACCGGCTACAAGGCTAACTACTGCGCTGGTTCCTGCCCCACCCCGCTCATCTCCCAGAGGCTCAACGCCAGTAATCACGCCTTCCTCAGGAACCTCATTCGACAGGTAAGCCAAGGCTGCTCATAATTAATTCAAATCAGGACCTAATTTGCATAATTTATGAAGAAATGATAGAATAGCCTATTTCTTAAGATACGAGCGTGTCTATTACATCATCGTGAGAAACTTATGACTGGCTCACTCACTTTAACAAGCACCTTCGTCATCAACAATAATCAAAACACACATCATGATCATCACTCACACATTAAAAGAGAATGACGTCGCCGTGGCGTTTTTAAAAGCCACCTTATTTTGGATGTATCCTAGTGCACTTTAAGTCTTTCCGCATATACGTTGGTTAGTATAACTCAAGAAGCTATTAATATATTGGTGGATCGAGATGATATTTGGTATATGGGTGTGGCCTTGAGTCAAGGTCGATTTTGGGCCTCCTAGTGGTTTCCCTTTGAAGTGCAGCTGAACTTCTTGTACATCTTTAAATCACACTTCGTAAGTCGTTGAAGAGGTTCATCAGTCACGTAGAATTAACAGTTGGTAGAAATTCTTCGATCAGTGACTGTACACCGTGATCAAGGTGTACAGTCGACACCGAAAATTTGGAGGTACGTAATCTACCTTACAAAAATACAGTCACTGATCGAAGAATTTCTACTAACACTTCGTAAGGCAGTTACTTCCGCACAGTTCATCTCCACAATTCATTCGAAATATTTCACAGAGGTTCGGAATGTTGAAGTCTTGTTATCGCTGTTTTGTTTATTTTGATAAGACATGCTGACGATGATTCATCTGATATTCTTATACTTTGTAGACAGTGCGTTGATGTGTTTTTCTTCTTTTTTTCTTTAGGCCAAACCTTCGAAGCACCATTTCGTGCCCAAGCCGTGCTGTGCCCCGACCAAGCTGTCCCCGATCTCCGTGCTGTACCGAGAGAAAACGGGCGCGTACGTCGTGCAGAAGATGAACAGCATGCGTGCGGAGGCGTGCGGCTGTTTGTGAACACTACCTGACCACCCCTATGAGAAATTGGCACCTTCCAGTACCTTCCGAAAACGTCCTGAGTTGCTTGTAAAGCAAGGACTCTTATTGTTCATGGTGAATACATACTGATCTGGATGACTTAAAATGAAACAAAAGGCAGGACTAACCTTCTTTTAAAAACATTTTATTAATATATATTCCTTTGAGTAGTCAATAAGGTTAAACTGATGCATGGAATGCATATGTCAAGCTAGTTTCCTGGCAGGGTTTGTGAACACCTCTTGACCACCCTTATCAGAAAATGGTACCTTCCAGCCCTTTTCCGACGAAAACGCAAATATGCAGAACGAATTAAGTCCTGATTTGCTTCTAAAGCAAGGATTGTTGTTGTTCATATTAGACACTGATTGATTTGGATTGAGTGACTTGAAATGACGAAAAAAGCCGGCAGGACTAACCTTTTTTTTTCAAGAAACATTTTATTAATATATATTCCCTTGTATAGGCGATGATGTTGCATGAAATGCACGTGTCAGTGAAGCTACATGTAGTTATACGGCAGGGTTATTTAAAGATGTGATGCACTTATCTCAGGAGGATAACACCGTGTTAGTTGGTATAACACTTCTCAGGAGACTTGCAAGACGTTTTGCTGGCAACACATTTTCAAAGGCCGATTTGCTTTGTATTGCGCGAAATTATCACTTTATTAGATAATTTCTTTTACAAAAGAATGAAAAAAGACGTTTGAGCAGCTTGGAAAAATTCCCACCATGTATCTTCGGTAGCACGTCGGCAGAACTCGCGAAACCTGTAATGTGTATTGTGCATAACTTAACACTTCTGCAGAACGCCTCGTTTTTAAAAGGTCGTATGCATTCCGCCTATTGTTTCCAAACTTTGTGAAAAGATATCGTCTGCAACGTTGACCAAACATCCAACGAAAACCGTGAACAATCTGCCCTCTATGTTCTGCTACCTCCGATCACGTCAGTTGACGTGTGATATGTTCATTTTGCTGTCCTAAACAATACTACAAATATATATAAGGCTCAAGCTTTGTATCGGTAGAAAAGTCGCACACCATGTACAGAATTTCCTCACACTGATACACTGATGACAATGAAACTACTTTCTGCCATTCACGTAACGTTACATCGCCATGCATCGTAAAGAGACATATATTAATCTCCAAGCAGATCCCTCTCGGTGGCAAAAAGACAGTATCAAATTGGCCAGGCAGTATCCATTAGCCAGAGAAGCTCCGCGGCCACCGACGGTGGGGATCAGGACAAAAAAAAACGCCATATATAAAAAGGTAACGACCTTTCCCCACAACCTCTGCTTGGAGAGTAGACATATATTACCTCGCTGCATGTGTGTATGGTTTTATCATTTACGTATACTATTGGCCATGCTATTTCAATATCTTTGTTCGTTGATACAGATAATAAAGATATACTTTGCTTTTCAGTTTTTTTGATTCACACGCCTCATTTTTTTCTTATTTGACAAAAGATATAATATTCAGGATATCAATCAGTCCTGAAATGGTTCATATCGGCACTACTTTTGAAGTACGGATCCTCATCTTCAGGAGCCGCAGTACAGGTATTAGTAGTTGATGAATTTGAATGCATCACATCGTAGTGTTATATTTTTGTAAGATGTTAGGCCATGTTGATTTGATTATATGGATGACATCCGCGCGCGCATGAATTTTCGGCCGTTTCCAAAAAAAAAGTTTTCAACCATACTGTAAATTGTACAAAACAGTTGCAAAATGAGCAAAAATATACCATAAGTTACAAAAAAAATTAATAAAAACTATACCAATGTCGTAGAATGCCAAAATCAAACGAAACAAGAAGCCATAGGTGACAATCCTCCGTGAAGTTTTATATATTTCAACAAAATCCCAAGCGTCAACGCCAGACCTACTGTGCAGACATTATAATTAGGCAACGGTTAATACAATGAGGGCGCGTCACAAGCATAAAACATACAAAGAGCTAAATCCATTACTGCTCCCAGGGCGTGTAAAGATATATACTGTGCTTCAAGTTCGAAGTTCATTTTAATTACACACACACAATCATTGCATTCACATAAAGATCGGACTATCATGGTCGTGTCTAGTAACAAAGACAGTCCCACCGTCTTACCGTGCCTGTACCTAATTAAGCGCGCCTGGAAATTCCAGCAATAGTTGAGGTAAGCACCGCGAGTGTTACTACCGCCGGCCAGATAACCAGGATATCTGCTTAGAGTACATCTGCTACCAGACAACTGCCTAAACCTACGGCCTATTCCACAGGATTGTAAAAGTAGGGATGTTTCTAAAATATGCATTTACTTCAATATCAAAATAGCTACGGTAAAAATAAAAAGACGTGCATCATCCCGGACATAATGCAACACCACATGCGAAATTACACAGAAATGCGACGTACGGAAGAATGCGTTTTGGCTGCGAACATCTTCCAAAAAACTTGGCATCTCTTAACCATGGGCAAAAACATCTGGAACCACTTATAAAAACCACCCCGTATCTGCATGAACTTTTACCCCCCCCCCCACTGCTATTCCAAACAACGCGTTTTTCTGGACCATTCCAATTCGCCTCGTAATTGTAGGGGTGCGTCTGCGATATTACATTGACCGCGAAAGCAGCAACGGCAAAAATACACATTCGTGCATCAACACGGGCATGCCCGCAGACGGCGTATAAAATTGCGTGCCGATAACACAAAGAGAACCCAGTGTTTTGACTGCGAACACGAAAAATCAGCCGATCACAACACTCCGTCCGGAGGTCCTGACCTCCTTCACGGAGTAAAAAGACGAAATTGTAAAGAAATGAACTTGTAGACTAGATTAGTATTCGCCAAACCATATTCTGTGCCATTTGCTCAACCCTCATGACCACGTAGATTTCATAATGAAAAGAACTTTTTTTTGCAAAACTTTTTTTTTATTCGCACGCGCGCATCAGTTTTGGGGCTCCCGGAGGATGTCATCCATATAATCAAATCAACATATGGCCTTAGATAAAGATAGCGGGGGATTTTTAGCCTGGGTACCATCCGGATTTTCGCTACGCAACGCTCGAAAAAATCACGTCTGGGACCGCTTGCATTCATTTGATTTTTTCGAGCGTTGCGTAGCGAAAATCCGGATGGTACCCAGGCTAGGGGATTTTCACTGAATCAAATAATATGTTTAATTGATTACATTCAAAGAATTTGATACACCGCACCATGACTGCACGAAACGTGATCTTCAACCTGATTGTGTGTAACTCGCGTTTGGATGCGCTCAATTTGTTACTAACCAAAACAAAGATGGCGGAAATATTTTGATAGTTTCTACAACGCCTCTACGTTGTCTCGAAACTGCGGCGCCTGAGGTAAAATGGTGGCATTTTTTGGATGCAATACACTTTATTGTAGCATTTGTGAGATCTTCGAACCGTATTTAAAAACATCGGTATCTCAGAACTTGATGTGTTGAGCTTTGAAAGTGTTGGACGTTGTCAAATGTGCACGTGTGGGAGGGGGGCGTCTTGCGGCGATGGTCGATGACTATATGACTGAGTTGAGAGGTCTAACGTGCACAATATGCCAGTGTGACTAAAAGTTTAATAATTTCACTGTAAGCCATGTATACTCATGTCCCTTGGGTACGACGTCTTGTGCCGGTCTAGTGATACTCGTAGATAAACAGGTATCAAGATACTGATAGATTAGTGTAAAATTATTTCTTGTTATCTAGTCTACTGTAACTGTACAATAGCTACTAGCTAGTGTCACCACGTGAAGAACTATATTATATGTGATTTAACTAGAGCCATGAAGGCTACTGCAAACTATTCAGGCGATCATCACGACGTCACGGCCAGTGAATGGTAGGCAAAAAGCGGATGACTTGACTACCGGTACCAATAATCTTCACAGCAATTGCTCATATTTGTTGCTGTCATTACTTCTGGGTATACAGAATTTTTGTTTTGAGTGACTGGTCTGTGTGCCTGTTTGTCGGGACAGAGTACTGCAGGTTGACAGCATGTTGCTGGAAGCAGATCAACAGGCAGAATGACAGGAGGTCAAAAGGTCAGACCCAGGAAATGGGGCATGAACTTGACAGTAGGTTGATAGCACGTGGGGAAGATTGGCCGGCAGTATGACAGGAGCTCAAATGTCCGAGGAAATAGGGATAAACTTGGCAGTCACAAAAATACCTCCTGCAAGTCTGAAATCTCTAATTTCTTCTTTTTCAGTATCATCAGTCAGTACCCCTTCTTTGCAGGTAACCTTACTGGTGGGCTGTTTGCATTACTAACTACAGCCGATGGACTACCTCCATGCCAGAAGGTCCTCTATGTAACCTCCTTGCTCTGTGTGAGTGCCCAGGAACCATGTGGGAGGGCTCCAGACTGCGCCTGCCGTGCGGGGTCCGTGTACGGTTCCTGTACGACCCTCAGGGCTGGTGCGCTCTCGGAATCATCTCCTTCATCTGGGCGTACAACACCGTGTTCATCCCCAGCCTCGTCATCATGCCCATGTACCATGACAACAGGCTGCCGCTGGCAACTCCCGTCTGTAAGTTTGTCTAGCAGATTTCAGGCAAAAGAAAGACGTAACAAATAAAGAAGTTAGCACTAGTACTGTGACTACTGTCATGTGTTGTTGATTTTTTGGACAGATTTCATACTCTTTCCCATAAGCTGTTATCTACACATAAGTGAATGCTCTAATCTATTGGAAAGTATTGTCAGCAATGTTTCATTATGTGCATGAAATTTGGCAACCCTCTTTAACTTTTTAATTAGATTCACCATGAAGTGTTCTTGAGACCCCCATGCAGACCACCTTATAATTATATATGTAAAAGTTTTCTAGGAATTAAAAAGTTTACTGTTTCATCCATTTGCAGGTAGGTTATGGTATCGTGGTTGTCCGTTGCCGATGATGACTTCTACGTGGTATATTTATGTATATTTATGGTATATGCTGTATGTTATTCATCCTATCAATTGTTAAGTCTTGTGGCAGTAATGATAATCTTTTAATGGGAACGAGAATCAAAATTTTGTGTTGTTGTTCCATCTCCAGTCTACTTTCTGATGTCCAGCCTGACAGTGGTGTGTCTGTACCTGTCAGTGACCACCAACCCTGGAACTGTGCCTCTGGACATCCAGCCATCCGCTGTTGGTCAGTACAACATGGATATTTCCTGGACATGTATCTGTCTAGTGCCTTATCTGATGGTATAGTGTCTCAGTAAACTTCCATCCATGACAGTGACATTGTACTAGTATGCATGTGTAACAAACAATATCCAGAACAGCGAGCAGATTATTATTGGAATGAGCAGAGCACTTTGGACTAATCTCTCTGGCTGTTCACAGCTTAGAGGTACATATCCAATATTTTGTCAAAAACATCTCTGTTACATAGCGGATCATAATGACCCCCAGCGGGGGTCTTCACACTTCGTTAAAAATGGAAAAATCTCAGGATTTATTCCAAAGATCTCAATATTTTAGACGAAATCTTGAGATCTTATGAGACAATCTTAAGATTTTTCATGACAATCTCAAGATCTTTCAGAAAATCTTAAGATGAAAATGAAAGGTCTCAAGATCTTTCCAAGTTGTTTTCAAAGCATCTAGAGTTTTTTTCATAGCATCTCGAGATGCTTTAAAAATATCAAGATTACTTTATAAATCATGAGATCTTTAAAAAAATCTTGATATTTTTTAAAGCATCTCGAGATGCTGTGGAAAAATCTCAAGATGCTTTGAAAATATCTTGGAAGATCTTGAGACCTTTCGTTTTCATCTTAAGATTTTCTGAAAGATCTTGAGATTGTCTCATAAGATCTCAAGATTTCGTCTAAAATATTGAGATCTTTGAAATAAATCCTGAGATTTTTCCATTTTTAACGAAGCGTGAAGACCCCCGCTGGGGGTCATTATGATCCGCTATGTAACAGAGATGTTTTTGATAAAATATTGGATATGTACCTCTAAGCTGTGAACAGCCAGAGAGATTAGTCCAAAGTGCTCTGCTCATTCCAATAATAATCTGCTCGCTGTTCCAGGTACATTGAAGGTACTTGTAAAGCTTAGCCTGGCATCCGTTCATTTTTAGCCTCCTGTCTGTTTCTCAATGGTTGCTGACTTGTACACTGACTTTTTCTGACTACTTCACTCACACCTTTTTTTATCCAAACTTGTTATTCTTGCAAAGATGATGAAAATGGTGAAGATATTGGTGAGTTGTGTTGCACCTTCTCAAAAGTATGCTTCAAGTCAAAAGTTCTTGGAGGACTATGAAATTTTGTATTCACAAGGATACATTTTAGCAATATCAAATGCAAGCAGATTTCAAGATGTCAAATTTTATGGTTGTACTCTCTATTGCTTCTCTCTCTCTCTTTCTCTCTCTCACACAATGTAATCGAACTACATGTAATCGATGTGCAATTTTTTAACTTTGGTAGTTTTTTTTTTTTTACAAAATGTTGTCTTTGAAACAGAGGCTGCTGATTGGACGGTATGCAAGGTGTGTCAGATCAGGAGGCCACCCCGTTCCCACCACTGCAGGAGATGTCAGCAGTGTGTGCGGAAAATGGACCATCACTGTCCATGGTAAATACATGTGTGGTATTCCAAGCATCAGTGTTTGATGTTAACTTAAGAAAAAAATGATCATATTCAATAGCATATCAAATCAGTGACATCATGAGTGTGTTCATTGCTATATTAGTGATTGATTTACTTTCAGCTCTGTATATATTGTTTTACATGTTACAAATGTAAATGGACGCCAATGTAACATCAAATTCACCAACAAGGTGACATGAATATGCTCTATTTGTAAGGCTTTTTGAACACCCTTTTCCTATATATTAAGACTGCAATAGAAAGACTACATACCCTCTGTTTTGCAGGATTAACAACTGTGTAGGGGAGGAAAACCACTGGCTGTTCATGCAGCTCCTGTATTACACCCTAATACTGGTCTCCCTGAGTATAGCACTTGCAGCGCTCCATCTCTACTACTCACCACCCTGCAGCTACTGCAATCCAGTAACTATCTTTTCAGTTGTTTACTTGGTTTTATGTTTATTTTTTAACAATTTTTCCATTATGGAATTGATACTCATTAAAAGATGCTGATAGAAATTGTTCTGAAACTTCACCCTGCAAATGTTCACTGAATGGGAAGAAAAAGTGGAAGGTTTGGGGCTGTACTAGGAAATTCACCCCCCCCCCATCATTAGTAGTAAGAACGGTTTGTTACCTCCATGAAAAATGGAGGAATTGTTTTTGGCGCATCTGTGTGTGTGTGTGTGTGCGAGTGTGTGTGTGTTTCTGCACATTTGTAGTCAGCATAACTTCAGAGCGCCTTTATGGA